GGGCTGTGGGGAATCCTGAGCACTGAGGATTGTGCATGGACAAGTTTTATTTTCCAAATAAAGGGCATGATGAAAGACGTGTGTGTCGCTTCTGATCATAGTTAATAGACTGTAAATTTGTCCCACAACCACAAAGAAGCCTGAAAAGTGTGGTCCAACCGTGTTTGCAGGAAGAAGAGGACATGATGAGTAGGTACGGGGTCTCTGCCACTAGAAATACTGGCCTTAGCTGGTCTGTGCAACATCCTGAGACCCTCTCCCCCCAAATCCTTTGGCTTTACCATCTATCACAACTCATGGCAAATTTGAGTGGATGTTAACAATTAAAAGAGTAATCAGAATTCACCTATTCCAAACTCTCATTTTCAATAAAAACAAAGTCTAGGAAGGTGTAATAAGTCTTTGAGGATCGTACAGTTTAGCTAGTAACAAAGCCAAAACATTTATTTTTAATTTATTAAATTTATAGCTTAATGTTTTTTCCACCACAACTCATAATTCAATATTTGATTTTTATCATAAGCTCTCTCTTGGACTCATTAAAATGCGTAATCCCGAATCACTAGGAGTTTGGGGGAAAATGATAAAAGTTTAAGGGATGGGTCTATTAAAAACGTATTGATGAAAATAAGTGAGCTAATAATGCGTAACTATTATGCACACATCTTTACTTTCCGAGAGAGACGATTTTTGAGTGCAGATGGTTATGTTCTTAGCTACTCACTTTTTCAATACTTCACCAAACTTGGGGCAAAATCATTTATGAATATAAGAAAGAGGAAGATAAAGATGCAGATGATAGAGTCTTACGATTCTGAACAAGGAGTGACTTTAAGAAGTAAATGACGTTACTGACCACTTCTTGTCAGCAGGAATTGTTCAATATCAATTATACTAAAACAACATTGTCATTTTGGGGCAGACACTTTTTAGTACAGAAACAAACAAACAAAAATTACACTCTAGTCACGAGGTTAAATCATTTATTTGGCTTAGTTCGGCTTTATAGATAACATTCTCTTAGATTACTGAGGTCCAGCCCCATTCATTTATTTATTGAAAAAATACTGAGACCCAATTAGATGTCAGAGGATATACTAAATGAAAGTTTATGTTTACAAGATTTGTGATCTTCTGCAGAAATGTAAATTTGCTGTTTATTTACTTCCTTGTTTTGTGTTAGAGGTGGAGGGCTGATGACTCCTCTCTTGACATGAATTCAGAGCCAACAAATACATATGTGTTATGGTCCTCAACAATGAGGGGCTGCAGAGTGAATGTCTGTGTCCCCCAAACCTGTATGTTGAAGCCTCAGCCCAGTTGAGTGGTATTTGGAGGCGGGGCCCGTGAGAAGTAATTAGGGTCAGATGAGGTCATGAAGGTGGGGCCCCCGTGGTGGGATTAGTGCCCTTGGAGAGGACGAGGGGAACTCAGACCTCTTTGTGTCTCTGCCACGTGAGGACACAGAGGAGCATGCTGTCTGCGCACCAGCAAGAGTGCCCTCCCTCCCCAGGAACTAGTCAGCGGCACCTTGGTCCTGGACTTCCAGCCTCCAGAGCTGAGAGAGACAGAGGTCTGTTGTTTAAGCTACCTGGCCCCCCGCCCCCATCTGTGGTGCTCTCCTGTCACAGCCTGGGCTGACAGGAGCCCTTTATAGAATTATAGTGGACATTTGACAGAACAAGTGGCATTTCCTGCGAGACACAAGGGAGACACAGGACATGTCTGGCTGCTGGAGCATTTGTGGTCTACTTGATAAAAAGTAAGACTCGCCATCGAAACAAAGGCAAAACCAGGACATGGTAGTGTTTACGACAGAATGGAAAGGTGACCAAGACCATATTTCTTTTTGTTTTTTTGTTTTTTTTTGTGTGTTTTTTTTTTAAAGATTTTATTTATTTTTTTGGCAGAGAGAGACACAGCGAGAGAGGGAACACAAGCAGGGGGAGTGGGAGAGGGAGAAGCAGGCTTCCTGCTGAGCAGGGAGCCTGATGCAGGGCTCGATCCCAGGACCCTGGGACCATGACCTGAGCCGAAGGCAGATGCTCAACCGACTGAGCCACCCAGGCGCCCCTTTTTTGTGTTTTTTTTGTAATGTATCTTGATCTCATGAAATGTGAGTTGTGAAACAGGGTCCTGTAATTCCACTCTGGTAGATGAAAAGATGTTAGAAGTTGTGATGACTGGGAGCTTTAAAGCCTGTATGGCAGGTTTTAGTTAGTTTTCCCCTCCTTCCTTCTCTAGAAAAATACCTAGGGAAGGGGGAAGGGGCCTCCTGAGAAGCCAGGGTTTTTTGGTCCATTTGTACATAGTGTTTCTGGAGCACGTGAGCTCCGTCAGGCACGGTGATGGACCCTAGGGACACAGAGGTGGGAAAAGAGCACGTCAGCCCTTGTGTTATGTGAAGTCTGGAGCTCCATGATTCATAGACTGGGCCATGTTAACCTGATAGAATGTCCCAGCCACAGAAATGTGTTCTTACACTTGGTGACTATGTGATGGGAGGAAAGAAAACAAGGTGCCCAGAGGTTCTGAATCATTGGGTTGGAATACAGTTACTGTGTCTCGTGCTATTCCTGACCCTCCACTTATAAGTACATTTAAGGATTTTCTTTCAAATATTTTCATTCATGTACAAAAACAACATTCCACACTGATTGCTGTATTTTATATATAGTGTGGAGATAAAATTGTGGAGCCGGGGCCATATATATATATGTGTATATATAGATATATATATGTGTATGTGTGTATATATATATATATATATATATATATATATATATATTATTCCCCCCTGTAATCATGAACTGAGCAACAATAACTGGGAAAACATGCAAATATCAAGCCCCGCACACTGTGCTGATACTAGGAAAATACCCTGCATATCCAAGTGCCTTGAAGAAATAGATAATTTAGTGGGAATTTGGAAGGGTATAATGACTAAATTAAGTATATAGGCATTTGCACATCACACCTATGAAAGACAAGGGATAACTATCTTTAAAGTATTTTTTTTTCTTATCCTACTTGCATCTAAATGGAAGCATTTGACTATAACTTAAACAACAAAATCATCTCTGGACTGTTCATTTTAATAATTAGTAGTTCTTAAATGTGGCCATTTTGGATAAAATTGCTTCTCCAGGTTAGCCAAATATTTTTGAGTCTGGAAAGATGACTGGGGATTGCACCAAAACAAGATTTTGTATGAATTACCTAATTTGGGCCAGGCCAAACACTCTGTCAAAAAGACTGCTATTTGTGCTTTCCACCCACAATGAAACACAGAGAAAACCACTGTCAAAGTTTGAACGTAAGAATCTTTTTTTTTTTTAAAGATTTTATTTATTTATTTGACAGAGACACAGTGAGAGAGGGAACACAAGCAGGGGGAGTGGGAGAGGGAGAAGCAGGCTCCCCGCGGAGCAGAGACCCCCCGATGTGGGACTCATCCCAGGACCCCAGGATCATGACCTGAGCCGAAGGCAGCTGCTTAACGACTGAGCCACCCAGGCTCCCCTGAATGTAAAAATCTTACGTGGTGTGTTTGTTCTTTCTTTTCCAGCAAAGGACTGTGCTATGGTGGTTTGAATTCAGGGTGAAACTGGGGATCTGCTTTTCTCTCTTGGCTGAGCTGGATCGGTGACCCATTGCTTATTTAAAAGGAAACATCAGCTTTGCAGTTCGCTCTCTACAGTGGCTGTTGGCGCCGCAGTGGGAAGGCCCCGGCTGTGGGAACAGTGCTGGTGGGGAGGAGGGAGAGGTGGTGGCCGGGCGGGCGCTGGGCGACCCCGGCGCCGCTCCGAGGAGAAGCACCGTGTGCGCTCCTGAATGTGGGTTCCACGCAGGCCACGCCGGGGAGAGCATCCGCCCGCACGGACTGGCGCGCCCGGTGGAGGAGCGGTTAGAGCTTGTTCGGACCGGCAAAGCATCGTGGAAGACTAATCTAAATACCAGGCCGGAGCAAAAACCAAGAGGAGAGCAGCAATAGTGCAAGAAACGGGAAAATGGCAGGCCAACGGGAAAGAATTTGCGTTTTGGACGTTGGTTTGTTTGTTTTGTTTGGCTTTTGATCATTACTGGAGAATGTGAAATTCTTGCCACCGTTAGTTAAACTACACCGTCCTGAGTCCTTGCTCTCTCGGCATTTGATGGGGCAGGATTTCCTTTTTCTGCTACTGAAACAAAGATTCCATTTCTCAGCTTTGAAAACTCTGCAGACCACTCACTCACTCACCCCTGCCCCATGGGTGGACCGATGTAGCTGGAACGGGTGTTTGGTAACTAAAACACACACACACACACACCTACACACAAACACACACATACACACCCAAATACACATACAGATACACACAAATACACATGTGCACGTGCAAATGCATACATATACACATGGGCACACACAAACTCACACACATACACACCAATACCCACACAGGCACAAGCAAAACATACATATGTACAAAACACACACAATCGTACTCACAACAAACATGCACATACCCACACATACCAACATGTGCACACATGCACACACACATGTGGGAGACTTCCAACCTTCCAGAAAAGGGTCCAGGCCATCACACCTTCTCCGGCATCCCTGCTGTGTCATTGTGTTCTTGTCCAGTGGTCTGACATGCAAGGGGCAAGTGTATGAGCACCTTCTGGACTCAATCTTGTCCAAAAAGCATTTTCGCTTATTAGACTCTGCTCTAAGTCCAGTGCTGATATTAATGTGATCCTTAAAATGCCCTGGAGTGACTTTGTCAGATATCGCCGGGTATACCAGATGAGCTTGGAGGGAGCAGGTGTGATCCTATAAAGATACAGGTAAGGATGCTATTGTTTTCTTTGGCATCACATCAAATTCCCTGTTGTAGCAACAGCCTTCTTCTGTTTTCCCCTCCTGCCTCCCTGGAAGGTGACTCAGTCCGCACACCAAGAAACCGTGGCACAATTACAGTATTCAGAATGACTTGTGGGTAATGGCTCAGCGTTCCTCTCCAATTGGATGCTGCCTTGTTATGCTGAATGCCAGTCAACGGATTCCTAAAAATATCCCCTGACAGAAGTCATCCTCTTCCAAGGGCCCTGGAGAATGTTTTCCACAGAAAGGGTAAGGCGCAGAGTGGGGCCGTGCTTCTGGGGTGAGTCACGTGAGGAACGTTCGTCAGTGGTATGTTATGTTATATCTTCCATGCTCCCTGGCGCTGAGCTCGGGTCGCCGGAAGGATTTGGTGAAATGCAGGCCTCTGTGGCAGGTTCAACTACGCCTCCCACGCCAGTTCCCGAAAACGCATGAACCTGTGCCCAAGGAAAGGTGCTTCAGGGTGTGTGGGTCACTCGCGCTTTGCTTTCTCCCCAATGAGAGGGAGCAGGAAAACCCCAAGTCAGAAATACGCACTGTGCCTGCGGGCTGTAAGCAGGAAACCTGTCCTTCTTAAAGCTGCCCCTCTGGCAATGACAGTTAAGTATGGGCTTGCCCGAGGGGAGGGGTGGGGGATATTCAGGTCCCCCGTGCTAGCCCTGCATTGACGGAGTGGAGAAGGTGCCAGGGGGCTGCATGTGCTGCTTCTCCTGTTATATATAGACCCCGCAGCGGGGCTGACGCTCGTGGGGCGTTAAGACCCTGCCATCTCCAGCAGTCATTACACCTTCTTACAGAATCTAGGATTGCAGACGTGTGAGCGTGTAGTTTTGGGGGAAGAGAACTTTTCTAGTACTCCTGAAATTTTACAACTTAAAAGACCATAAAGATCACTGTACTCACAAGAATAACACAGTGCTTCAGATCCTTCTTCAAAGTAGATAGGATGTAAATACAAAGAAAACAGGAGCACCTGGGTGGCTCAGATGGTTGAGCGTCTCCCTTCGGCTCAGGTCATGATCCCAGGGTCCTGGGATCGAGTCCCACATCAGGCTCCCTGCTCCACGGGGAGCCTGCTTCTCCCTCTGCTTGCCACTCCACCTGCTTGTGCTCACTCTCTGTGTGTCAAATAAATAAATAAAATCTTTAAAAAAAAAAAAAAGAAAAGTAAATGTCCATTCTGATGATCAATTTGCACAATAAATCATGAATTCTTTCTTTGGAGATGATATGAAGAGCGACATGGGCTGACTGACCCTTCGGTGGAAGGGTTTGACCTCTCTCGATTCTCAGAGAGAAAGTCTTTAGAATCTTGGTTTTCTGATTTAAAATAGTTAACATTCCATTTCCAAATGAGAGTTTACCAACTATATCATGATTGAAAAAAATCAACTTTCAATCAGACTTGAAAGTCATAGATAGGTTTAGAAATCGGACTAACATCTCTTAGGCTAACAAGGGGTTGGAAGGTTATCTAGAGACGGCTTAATAATCTACAGCTTCGGGGCGCCTGGGTGGCTCAGTTGGTTAAGTGACTGCTTTTGGCTCAGGTCATGATCCTAGAGTCCCAGGATCAAGTCCTGCATCCGGCTCCCTGCTCAGCGGGGAGCCTGCTTCTCCCTCTCCCTCTACCCCTCTCATGTTCTCTCTCGCTCTCTCATTCTCCCTCTCTCAAATAAGTAACAATCTTTAGAAAGAAGAATCTATAGTTTTGAAACTTTCAGGTTAAAAACATGTCCTTCACTAAGTAATCTCAAGGTTTAGGGGTCAAAATAATTTTTAAATAGGAACCAAATGGTTTTTTTATTGAATTAGAATTCACATAACATAAATTGACCATTTTAATCTCTTAAACATGTATAATACAGTCTCATTTAGTGCATTCCCAATGTTGTATAGCGACTACCTCCATCTAGTTTCAGAGAGTCTTCATCAACCCAAAAGGAAACCCCAAACCAGAGGGCCACTCCCCATTTCCCCTTGCCCCCAGCCCCTGGCACCAACTGATTTTTTTTTTTTTTGTTTCTATGGATTTGCCTATTCTGCATATTTCATATAAATGGAATGAATATGTGTCTTTTTGTGTCTTGGCATCTTTCACTCAGCATGACATTTTTGAGGCTCATCCGTATTGTAGCAAGAATCAGGTCTTTATTCCTTTTCATGCCTGAATAATATTCCTTTGTATGATTGTACCACATTTTGTTTATCTATCCATCAATGGACGTTTGGGTTGCTCCTACCTTTTGGCTATTATGAATAATGCTGCTATAAGTATTCATGTGCAAGTTTTTGTTTGAACACCTGTTTTCAGTTCTTCTTGCTGTGTACCTAGGAGTAGAATTGTTGCATCATATAGTAATTACATTTAGCCAACCTGTTTCCATAGCATTGTATCATTTTACATTCCCACCAAACATGTGAGCATCTTAATTTCTCCATATTTTCACCAAAACTTATTGTTTTTTGTTTTTTTAAATAGATTATGGCTATCCTAGAGAGTATGAGGTGGTATCTCACTGTGGCAACATGTTATCAAAGTACAATCTGAAGCAACATTGAAATTATTGCACATTTCAGCAAGGGAGGGCAGAGAGGGCAGAGAGACCTATCGTATTTATTTATTTATTTTTAATTTTATTATGTTATGTTAATCACCATACATTGCATCATTAGTTTTTGATGTAGTGTTCCATGATTCACTGTTTGCATTTAACACCCAGTGCTCCATTCACTACCTGCCCTCTTTAATACCCATCACCGGGCTAACCCATCCCCCCACCCCCCTCTCCTTTTGGGGGGTAACTCTTCATAAGAAGAGTTAGGTCTGTTTAACACACTGGGTAGACTCTTGGCTGTCCTCAGAGGGAGATGGCATTGTGTGGAGGAAGAATCTATGGCCATGGCTGTGGTTTGATTAAATACACCATCTCCCATGGGGCACCTGGGTGGCTCAGTCAATTAAGCATCTGCCTTCAGCCCAGGTCATGATCCCAGAGTCTTGGGATGGAGCTCCCTGATCAGCTCGGAGCCTACTTCTTCCTCTCCTTCTGCCCTCCACCCCCACTCATGCTCTCGCTCTCTCTCACTCTCAAATAAATAAATAAATAAAATCTTTTAAAAAAATATACCATCTCTCACCACCCTTTCAATGGCAGATTTCTTGGAAGGAGTAGTTGTATATATTCTTAGCTTTCACATCCCTATCGCCTACCCATTTCTCAGCTAATCCCAATCTCCTGCATTTTCTATGCCAAAAGGCCATTTTTTAATAAGATCTTCAGTACTATCTTGGTTTCTGTCTTAGTGCTTTGGCTGCTGTAACAAAATACCACAGACTGGGGGGCTCATAAACAGCAACCCCACAGCTCTGGAAGCTGGAAGTCCAAGATCAAGGCACCCTGTGTCTGGTGAGAACCCTCTTCCTGATTCATAGACAGCATCTTTTCCCTGAGTCTTTACCTGACGGAAGGGGCGAGGGGGCTCCCTGGGGTCTCTTATAAGGGCACTGATCCTATCCTGGGGGCTCCACCCTCATGACCTCATCACCTCCCAAAGGCCCCTCCTCCTAACATTGTCAGCTTGGGAGATAGAATTTAACACAGGAATTTGGAGGTGGGGGTGGTGGGGGAGGGACACAAGCATACAGTCCATAGCAGATCCCAAATCTGTTTTCCTATTGAATCCTCCTGCTTCTTGGTCTTCCGCTTGGGATGGTGCTGTTGACCACACCCTTCTTCTTAGAGCACACTATTCTGTGGGCACTCATGGCATGCACACTCCTGATTCTGGCTGGTTTCTCCTTCTGATTCTTATGTAGCCACTTATCAGTTATTTCTGTTACCAAGTTCTGTTCCTTTTTCCCCATCTCTACATTCAAGAATGGTTGTTTCCCCTTAAACCATCTTTTTTTTTTTTAAAAGATTTTATTTATTTATTTGAGAGAGAGATGAGAGAGAGAGAGAGAACATGAGAGGGGGGAGGGTCAGAGGGAGAAGCAGACTCCCTGCTGAGCAGGGAGCCCGATGCGGGACTCGATCCCGGGACTCCAGGATCATGACCTGAGCTGAAGGCAGTCGCTTAACCAACTGAGCCACCCAGGCGCCCTCCCCTTAAACCATCTTGAACATTTTCTTTGCTGATTGCTTTTGTGATGTGTGTATGTGATTGATAAGTCATCTTTCTCCCAATATTGAGAACCCAGTGTCATCCTCTATTCCTCTGTTTCCATTCCCCAAATTCTGGGAAGTGGGGGGCAATCGAGTGATTGGAGTAAGAGAGCAAAGACTTATTGAAAGAGGAGGTTTTAGGAAATGAAATTTATATTTCATTAAGCTCAGTGTTACCAGGAGTCAGGGCTTCTGTGCAGTGTCCTTGAGTCCTGCACAGATGTACAGGACTCTGTTTTATAGAATGAGAAATGAGAAATGAGAAATGATTCATTAGTAGAGATTTATTTGCCACTTATGTCTGAGTGACAGAGAAATGTCAAGTCCCCATCACTAGATCCTCAGTTCCAGATATGTTCTGCGAAATGAGCTGTCTCCTCAAACTCTCCCAGCAGACTCAGTTTCCCCTTATAGAAAACGAGAGAGAGTGGCTTAGAAGATAAGATCTCCAAGATAAGATTTAAAACGTGCTTTGGGCAGGTTCTCGCATGCGAACAAAAGAAAGGGAGTCCTATTAATATTAGCAGAAAGGAATTTGTTAGAAAGCTATCTGGTGGTTTACAGAAATTACAGGACATCTGGAGAATGAACCTGGGGAAAATGTGAAGACCCAGAGGAAACCAGGTGTCGGGGAACACAGGCCGCTGAGTGCTGATCCATCAGATCCCAGCATGGCACTGGACACCCTTTCCCCATCTGCGAGCCTCATGCTGCAGCCATCTCCAGAATATGCCTCAGCTGTCTCCAGGTTTTGTGTCACTTCTTAAAAAAAAAAATAAATAAATAAATCCTAGTTTCAAACATGAGCTTGGCACACATAGACCCTATTCTCATGTCCTGGTAACTCAGGGGAAGCGGGGGACAAGAAATCCAGAGTGGGTTGTGGGGCCCTGAAGCCACAAAGACTCGTCAAGGGAGACACCCCCTAAATGTTAGTGGTTTTTGTGGCGCTGGGAGGGAGATAAACATCTACCACATTACAAGTCCCATACTATTGGTAAAAGAGATTCTTACTTTTATTGCTACAGACGGTGTTGAATATCTGTCGCTGGGCTGTTAAATGGGCCGAAGGCAGGCGTGAAGTCAGGAAAATAAAAAGGGGGAGGAGAGACATAACAAGAGGAAAAAGAGAGAAAAATACTGTCACATTTTATTTGGGACTGAGCCACATTTTGTGGAGTCTAAAACTTATACAAGTCCTAGAAACTTTTTTTTTTTAAATAAAAACAGCAAAGTTATGAATACAAATAAATTGGTTCAAAAGTAAATATTTATTTAGAATGAGAAGAGAGATCCTAAGAAGTTCTTGTGGCTTTGCACATGCAGAACACTTGCTGAGGTGTCTCTCAGCACTCACCAGATGTGGGATGAAAAGGCTCCTTATTTTTTCAAAATTTAATTTAATTTAATTTAAATTCAGTTAGTTAACATATAATGTATTATGGTTTCAGAGGTAGAGGCAGTGATTCATCAGTCTTACATAACACCCAGTGCTCATTACATCACGTGCCCTCCTTAATGCCCATCACCCAGTTACCCCATCCCCCACCCACCTCCCCTCCAGCAACCCTTGGTTTGTTTCCTATGATTAAGAATCTCTTATGGTTTGCCTCCCTCTCTGATTTCATCTTGTTTTATTTTTTTCTCTCTTCCCCTATGGTCTTTTGTTTTGTTTCTTAAATTCCATGTATCAGTGAGATCATATGATAATTCTTCCTCTGATCGACTTATTTCACTTAGCATAATACCCTCTAGTTCCATCCACATCTTTGCAAGTGGCAAGATTGCTTTTTTTTTTTTTTGATGTTTGAGTAGTATTCAATTGTGTATATACACCACATCTTATCTATCTAGTCATCTGTTCATGGACATCTGGGCTCTTCCCATAGTTTGGCTATCGTGGACATTGCTGCTATAAACATTGGGGTGCAGGTGCCCCTTTGGATCATTATATTTGTATCCTTGGGGTAAATACACAGCAGTGCAATTGCTGGGTCCTAGGGGAGTTCTATTTTTAATTTTTTGAGTAACCTCCATACTGTTTTCCAGAGTGGCTGCACCAGCTTGCATTCCCACCAACAGTGTAGGAGGGTTCCCCTTTCTCCTCATTCTTGTCAACATTTGTTGTTTCCTGACTTGTTAATTTTAGCCATTCTGACTGGTGTGAGGTGGTATTTTGTTGTGGTTTTGATTTTTATTTTGCTGATGTTGAGTGATGTTGAGCATTTTTTCATGTCTGTCGGCCAATTGTATGTCATTGGAGAAATGTTTGTTCATGTCTTCTGCCCATTTCTTGATTGGATTCTTTGTTCTTTGGGTGTTAAGTTTGATAAGTTCTTTATAGGTTTTGGATACTAACCCTTTATCTGATAAAACATTCGCAAATATCTTCTCCCATTCTGTAGGTTGTCTTTTGGTTTTGTTGGCTGTTTCCTTTGCTGTGCAAAAACTTTTTATCTTGATGAAGTCCCAATAGTTCATTTTTGCCCTTGCTTCCCTTGCCTTTGGTGATGTTTCTAGGAAGAAGTTGCTGCGGCTGAGGTCGAAGAAGTTGCTGCCTGTGTTCCCCTTTAGGATTTTGATGGACTCCTGTCTCACATTTAGGTCTTTTAACCATTTGGAGTCTATTTTTGTGTGTGGTGTAAGGAAATGGTCCAGTTTCATTCTTCTGCATGTGGCTATCCAATTTTCCCAACACCATTTGTTGAAGAGACTGTCTTTTTTCCATTGGATATTCTTTCCTGCTTCGTCGAAGATTAGTTGAGCATAGTGTTGATGGTCCATTTCTGGGTTCTCTATACTATTCCATTGATCTAAGTGTCTGTTTTCTTTTTTTTTAATTTTTTTTTTTTTATTTATTTGTGAGAGAGAGAATGAGAGACAGAAAGCATGAGAGGGAGGAGGGTCAGAGGGAGAAGCAGACTCCCTGCTGAGCAGGGAGCCTGATGTGGGACTCGATCCCGGGACTCCAGGATCATGACCTGAGCTGAAGGCCGTCGCTTACCCAACTGAGCCACCCAGGCGCCCCCTAAGTGTCTGTTTTTGTGCCATTACCATACTGTCTTGATGATGACAGCTTTGTAATATAGCTTGAAGTCCAAAATTGTGATGCCTCCAGCTTTGGTTTTCTTTTTCAACTTTCTTTTGGCTATTTGCATCTTTTCTAGTTCCATACAAATTTTAGGATTATTGGTTCCAGCTCTGTGAAAAAAAACTTATGGCATTTTGATAGGGATTGCATTGAATGTGTAGATTGCTCTGGGAAGCATAGACACTTTAACAATATTTGTTCTTCTAATCCATGAGCATGGAACATTTTTCCATTTCTTTGTATCTTCCTCAGTTTGTTTCATGAGTGTTCTATAGTTTTCAGTGTATAGGTCCTTTACCTCTTTGGTTGGGTTTATTCCTAGGTATCTTATGGCTTTGGGTGTAACTGTAAATGAGATAGATTCCTTAATTTTTCTTTCTTCTGTCTCATTGCTAGTGTATAGAAATGCAACTGATTTCTTTACATTGATTTTGTATTCTGAAAAGCCCCTTATTTTTAACCTACTTTCCCTTCACCAACAATACTCTATGAATCCCAACACCTTTTCTCATGGGGGTGCATGAAGCTCCCAAATCTGCTCAGAGAATCTGCCTCATGGCTCTCTGCCTCCGTTGGAGGGATAAGACCTGTTACGTGTTCATCCAGGCTTCCATTCAAAACACTGTGGTTGAGGACGAGTCATATGTTAGCACTGCACTGGGGGCTCGGGGCCCAAGAGTGAACAAGGCAGAAATGGCCACTGTTCCTGTGGTAATTCACACACTAATCAAGAGAAACAGACTTTGGAAAACAAGGTGAAATGGTTTTGAGATCCTAATCACTCCTCCAGCCCATGAAAAGACAAAGGCATCTCCTTGTTCCATGGACTTTTCTAGAATAGGGTGTTCTGTTGTATGTAAGCCATAGAAACTTCAAACTTATAAATATGATTTCTTATATAACACTGATTCTATAGTGTACATAAATCCAGATTTATAAACTAGCATCTAAGATATATGGCATTCTCTCTGTGCAGTACCCAAAGAGGGGGAGTGGAAGGGTGGCCCACATGGGTGAGGGACAGTAGTGTGACCCAGTGTCAAAGGTCATAGCACAGTCACAGACAGAATGATGTTCTAGGGGGACAGCTGGGAATCCCTGATGTCACAAAATCCTAGATACACTGAAACCTCCCAGAGCACACTGTGAAAGTCTATAAAGTCAACACTACTTTACAACAACTCAACAAAAAAGCTCTCTTCTGTTAATATCAGAGTTAGGATAAATGGCTGGAAAAACAATGCTCAGAATAAACCTCTCTATTTCTCTTAACAACCAAATCTTAACAATGGTTACCAGATACTGGGTCTACAAAGGATGTTATATGTACATATACAAACTCACATACACATACTAAGTACCCAACCCAAATGAGTTTTGCACATAGATTATGAAGCTAGTATCTTCACAATCATTTCATTTCTGAAAAGAGCATGTCAGCCCTTCTCAAATGTCCTTGAAGCAAAAATATAATTCTAGGAACACATAATTATCGTTTCTGAAGCAGCCCACTGAAAAGGATTTTGTTGACAATATTGCCAACAATGGGAAGCATTTATGCCAGTCTGGGAATGCAAGGAAGGTTAAGGGGCAGAATCCTCAAAGCCTTTAAGGAAATAGCCTGAGTTTGTGTTTTAGACTGTGGCAAATTGTAAGCGTTTCAATGATTTTTCCATTCTCTGAATCTTTATTTCTACTAGACCCACCAGGATTTGGCTCCATTTGACTGGAGCCCGTCATCTGGCCCATACTGAAATATGTGTCCCTTCACATGTTTGCTGTGTCATCATTTTATCAACATGTGTCAAGACGCTTTGTCTTCATGCTCCCCCCTGCTGGTCCATGGACCACCCTAACGATGCAACTGATTTCTTTACATTGATTTTGTATTCTTGACACCACTGCTCACCAGGGCTCCACTCTAAGATGTGGCAGCTTTCGCTGTACCATAAACAGAATGGAAACACAACTCAAGTATTTGTGGACACAGTTGGGGACACATGGAGCTTCTGAACCTCACAAGGCAACCTTCTTCTTATAACATACTACTAGGAAACATGATATTCCTTATTGACCTCAGAGGTCTTAGAATGAGAAGAAAGGGAACCCTTTCTGTTCACTGGCCAGCTACACAAACAACGCAAGGAGGCGAGTTATATACACAGAATTCAGACACCCTGCGGCCACCATCATGCATGCGTGCCATACTGTCAGCAGACCTCAAAACACAACCCCATTGAGCTTGTAAACATCGGATGAATTAAAAGCAATTTTCTCACTTTATTTAAAAAGTCACCCTGTCACAAAATATATTGCTCTGTGGATATGCTAATTAATGCCTCATCTCTGGTTTGGTTAGAGAATGAGCTAGTTCACGTCTAGGAATCTTCTAGATGAATGAAGTTTCTCACTAGTATGCTAGAACGTTTTGAAAAGTTTACTTTTATTTTCCTTGTAGCCTTTTAAAAATATATATTAAAATTATCTCTGTCTTCTGTCTTAATTACATACTTTTTGCTCAGATTATTTCATAATCTCTGCCTTACCACTAACAGTGTGCAGTCAATAGACTAAGAAATCATAAAAACGCAAAATCAAGCTCAGTGAAGTTTGTTGTTTTATTAAGGCCTTTCAGATTGCATACCAAATGATAAAAGCCAAATCATGTTTATTCCAACAAAATCCGATATTCAGAAAATGGCTGTATATTTACATATAACTCTCCTTCCTCCTCATTATTCATCCCCACCCTCTGCCCTGTCTCGAACACCCAGCATACACTCAGGCCATCTGTTGAATCCAACTGATGTCTCAACCCACACCCTGCAAATCTTCCATAACTTTTTTCTTAACTTGGATTGTTCTCTTTTTTTCTGTAAAACCAAAGCCCCCTAAGAGAACATCTCATCCTTACAACTGCCCAGGTTCATCCCAGGCAGCAGAACTTCTTAGGAGGGCTAGA